AACCCTAAACCCTAAACAATGAAGGGACAAACGATGCCGAGGCCGCCACCGAAGCAGTCCGTGGGCGAACTGACGGCAGTACGACGGCTGCAGACCAGCTTAGGGCCTGCTGAGTGGCTCAAGGTTAAAAATGAAGGCCGGAAAAGTCGTAATGATACACATATATAGATACATGATATGTAGATATGTATATGGGCAATGTTGCAGATATATAAACACATTATATGTAAAGATGTATATGGATATACATATCTATCTATGCAAAGGAAGATAGGTGGCATGTATGTGCACATACACACAGTATAAGATATAAGATACCGCAAGGCCTTATTAACTCATTAGAACCCGCGCACGGATCGGGGAGATTAGGGTTAGGCGTTCTGAAAGCAAGGGCACTGTAGGTGACTGGGTTGGATTCTCGTTTACATGTGCGTTACCGTTGCAGGGATGTTCTTCACATTTCGAGGTCTAGGACTCCGCCATCTAACTGAGATGCGCTTTGTTTTGAGGTGATCAGAGTCCCGCAGTGTGACCGTTTCAGGGGGGGGGGGGGGGCAACCCAGATCTTTTGAACCAGTATTCCTGCGCAGTCTCGGAAACGTCAGCGACCGAAACTTAAGCGCCTACACCCCGAAACCTTCCAAAATCCTCAAGCCTCTTCCGCATGCCGGCAACACAAACGACATCAAAGCCTACATCCAAAGCCCATGCACGCTGCATCCAACGTCGAAAACCAGAAGTGCACAAGCCTCCTAAACACATGGCTCACAGGTAGAATCGCAACAAGCCCTAAAGCAGGTAGTCGCAGGGAAATCCTTGTACAGCACTACCAGTCCGTTGTTATTTTATACAGCCCTCTCAAGCTCTTGCAGCAGCTTTGACAAATCCGTACAAGCCCCAGGAAACCCTTCTGACATCCTTCTTTTGTAACCTTCGACTTAACATGCAGCTAAATGATTGCGCAAGCCGTCGGTGCTAACATACTTCCTCACTCATACCACAGCTCACTCCGCATCAGTTCCTCTATGATCACCGAACACGATGTTCTGCCATGCTGGAATCCTCATGTAAGAATGTTACACCCTCTCCACACTGAGGTCTTCTCTTTCGTACTAGTTGGCTTTGGTGTCTTTGTTGCGCCTGCGCCGCTTCACAAAGGTGGTGCAATACACTGAGTGAAAGCCCTCCGGCTGTTTCACTAGTTGAGCTTGATCTATGATTTTTGTCTCGCATATTTCTGTTGTGCTTGTCGAAACTGCTTAGAAGGGTGCCGTAGATTGGGAACCCTAAACCCTCAACATAGCTGGGCCTAGCGACCAAGTCTTTTCCAAGGAGCTCGCGGAGGTTCGTGCACTTCAGGACGTCGGACGATGTGGGGTTAGGACTTAGGGTTGAGGGTTTAGGGTTTTAGGGTTTGGGGTTTAGGGGTTTAGGGTTTCGGGGTTTAGGGCCTACTGGTTTAGGGTTTAGGGTGTTTATATTCGTATAGAAGCCGGAAGAAGTATCAACAGTGTTCCTCAAATTTCCGTACCATAGTTGTTGATAGATAGGAGCCGGAAACCCTGTTCTGATTATTAAGCCCCTCACATTACAGGTTTTAGGGTCTAGGGCCTTGTAGGGTTTAGACTTTAGAGTTTTAGGAGTGTTATATACGGGTTGACAGAATTTCGCAGGCTTTTGTAACTTATTTCAGGCTTCTTGCAGGGCTCGAATGGGCTTGATATGATGAAGTACGGCAGTTTTTGTCGTACAGGTTTTTGGGGCTGAAGGGGTTGTGCATAACCAATGGTGTCACACGGTGTTATTAGGTTTACGCAGAGGGTCATACCCTACCCCTTGTTTAGGGTACCTACTTTTCTAGGCTTAAATGGCCTCACCACAAAACTAGGTATGCTGAAAAAGGTGCAGGGTATGACCCTCTAGGTAGAGTTTAGCACGGAATTGGGGAGCTCTAGCAGGGTGAATGCGTCCGATGCGGCAGGGTTAGGATAGGGGGCTTTAGGGTTTTGAAGTTTGAGGTTATTGGCTCCCAAGGGGCCTGGAATCTTAGAACTCAGCGTGTGTTGCGGTTGTAAGACCTGACGTCAAGAGCTTTGCGTAATGACATGGTGTTTGGGGGATAAGTACAGGGTTAGCCGTCGTTAGGGCTTATTAATTCTAAGTTCTAGGATTCAGTCTCTAGGAATATGGCGCCGGGCTACGATTTGTGGAGGATTTCCGGTTTAGGGTTTGGGCGTATTTTTGTCTATGGCTGCTTGCTCCCTCACGAAGGCTTGAGTCATGTCTTAAGGCCCGAGCTGCGCCACCACGACTTCGGTTAGGGTTTACGGTGCTGAGTATGGCGATTATTTTCTTGCTGCTCTTGTTCTTCTAACTGTTGCTGTCAGGACCCCGTCACTGCCGTTACTACCAGTGCGTATGTGCCTTTAGTTTTTGAGATGCTAGTATCCTTTTGCACTACGGGAATGAGACCAAAGTTGCGGGCTTCGGCACTTGGGCAGGGATGAGGAGATTCGCGCATTGGGCGTGACAGGTGTCTTTCACCCTACTCCCGGAAAGATGTCTCCAACGAAGTGGTATGAAGTGCTTCAACTATCGGAATCCTCAGCCGAAGACTCCACGAGCTCTAAGTACTCGCGGGCCTTAGGGCATGAGCTGTTCAACTACGGAAGGCGTAACAACCAGAGATGCCATGGGTAAACCCTAAACCCTTTAAACCCTAAACCCTACCCACGGGTATCCTATCAATGTATGCAGGAGCAGGCGGAGGCCCGCCACGCTGCTGCATCATGGATGCAGACAGCAAGAAACAGAGCCAACGGTGCTGCACAGCTAGTCACACTTAGGTAGTCTAAAAAATCAAGTAACGGCTGCCGCACATGTGCGATTTCTATACCCGAGCGCAGACTTGCATGCAGAAAATTGCAGAAGTTGGACGACTATGGCCTTGCTCTCAAGTTGTGTCAAGTTCTCCCGGGAAGAACGGGATCTTGGCTCTGTCTGCGCTGTTCAGGTTTTAGAATTTAGGGTCTAGGGTATGATGCTGACAATTCTTCTGAATCCCACCCCATATCCACGACCCTCAACCCCCAACCCCGACTCCAAGCCCAACCCTTATCGGCCCTTGAAGCCAGGGCAGGCAGGGTTTGAGGGCTTGGCCGACAAAGCCCAAACCCGAAACCCCTACACCCTAAATTCTACATCCCCTGAACCCTACGCCCATAATCCCCGAAGCCCTGAACCCTAGTGCTTTAATCTCTGGTTGCCCAGGCAGAGCAGCAACGGTGTGTTTTGGCCGAGTCGCTCACAGAAGCTTGGATGTTTGAGCCGGAAAGTCCCTGCACTCTGTGGGTTTAGGGTGTAGGGTTTAGCTTCGGAAGGTGCCCGTACTTTGTAGCACAACCCCCATTACAAGCGCTCAAGCCTACCTGAAACGGCATCCGCCGGTTCAGCATTCGGTTGCTAACATGAGGTATAGCCGTAATATGGGCCTAAATAATTGCCTATACTATTTTTGGGGGAGGTGCCGCGTGCAAGGCGTGTAACATAGATCTGCAGAACTATAGTGACACAATTCATGAGGTGTCCACAGTATCTTGATTCACAACACTGAATCCGGAACACTCTGCACCGAGGAGGCTGGCTCCAACATCAGCAGACTGCAGCAGATTGTCGACGAGGCGCTGTGCCACAGAAGCTCCGAAAGCCGGAAATCCCCAACAGCACCACAGCGCCAAGGTCTTCCAGACAATGTAGGGGCAGAATAGTTATAAACTTAGTATGCATTGGGGCACATGAGTGTAAGATAGCTATAGTATATTATAATTGAAGCCCTGCTCCAACTCCTCTGAGTCCTAATGGCTTTGATGGTTCATGCTGGGCACCTAAGTCTCTTTATGCTCTTTTATTTGGGGTCTCCGGAATTTCTGAAACTGCACATCAAAGCCGTAAACCCTAAACCGCTCTAAACCCTCCTAGGCTTCAGGGTAAACTATAGGGGTTACTTTAAGGGTACTATAGGTCACGCCCCAACCTTCATGATCTTCATCCGCCCCCATGTCTCACCTGCATGGAACCGTCGAATATGGAGGTCTGAATAAGTAGTTAGTATAAACATATAAATACGTAAACAAGTAGATACATCACTATACATGTATGTATGTATGTATGTATGTATGTATGTATGTATGTATGTGTATATATATATATAATATACTTCGACATTCATGCGTTTAAATTCGTAGTTCCTTCTCAATTAACATACACCGCCCTGATTGAAAGATGAACGCCTCAACATTAGGCTGATGTAAAACCCTAAACCCTAAACCCTAAACCCTAAACCCAAATGCCCGTAGGCTTTCACCAGCTGATCAGTTGCTCACCCCTTACATGGTGAGTAACTCAGGAATTTGAAAGTCTTAGTTCCCCAATACCCAACCTTTTGGGTTCTTATAATCTGGTAGTAATCTGAAAGTTTAACCTGTCAGTTCCCTGGCCCATTGGGGAAGGAAGAAGTAGTATGACTCTTATTGGTGATGGTTCCGTGCTTTTAGCTGCAGCTACAGGTTAAGTTTTCGGCGTCGTTGTCAGCGGCTGGCGGGTCGTAAACCCAGTAGTACGAACACAGACATTAAACCCTAAAGAACCCAAGTTGGCCCAAGATGACTCACCACACAGGGACGTAAATCCTAAACTGCCAGTTCTCCCCTAAACTCTAAACCCTAAACTGCGAGTGCTAAGCCGCAGCCGAAGGCTCACGTAGCAGTCCGTAGCAGCTCTCCCAATCATGTTGCTGATGGCTAGCTCTGTGTTTGGGCTGCTTGTGGCTGCAAGGGCGGCGACCATCTCGCCGATCGTGGCTAGGCGATTCAAGCCCGTTGAACAGAGATTGGTTTCCATTCTCCGCACTGCGCGCCCCAAACCCGAAACTCCTTGCAGTAAACCCTTCCTTATACTAGAACCACGGGTAATTGGGAAGAACGGGCGAGATTTTGTTTCGGAGGGGGGGTCTAGGAACGATATCGAAAAACCACAATCAAAGACACGGAGTTCCTTAGGCTAAGAACCTTCCTAAACCCCGCAAAACCAAAAATCCTAAGTCTCAAATCCTACCCATAACTCCTTCCCCCGGCCCTATACTCGAAGCCTAGGTCCATGCTATTATGGAATTTGGTCCCCCCCAGAACTAGAATTTTCTTTTGGGATCCAATGTCATGATGGTATAAAACCCTAAACCCTGAACCCAAAACCCCAAACCCTAGAACCCTAAAACCCTAAACCCTAAACCCTAAACCCTAAACCCTAAACCCTAAACCCTAAACCCTAAACCCTAAACCCTAAACCCTAACTAGTATATACACATGGACCTCCGGGAGCCGGTGCGTTCGACGAAGGATTGGTGTAACATAGGGGCCTTAATAATTACCTATTCTATTTTGGGGTTTAGGGTTTAGGGTTTAGGGTTTAGGGTTTAGGGTTTTGGGGGTACTTTCTTATAGTTATAATACAGTACGTATACCCCGAAACCCCATTCTAATTATTAAGGCTTCTACATTAGGGGCTTATGGCGTTTATGGTTTCGGATCTTAGAGGGCTCAGGGTGTACATAGGAGTCTAAGATGTGGGGTGTTGAGAGTTAGGGTGTATATCAGGTTCAGCACCTAGAGTCAGCTCCCAGAAGTTGGAATACCCCAAACCCCAAACCCCTAAACCCTTAAACCCCTAAACCCCCAAACCCGAAACCCTAAAACCCTAAAGCCCTAAACCCCCTAAACCCCTAACCCCCAAACCCTAAACCCTAGGGTTTCAGGGGCTCCCGACCCCAGGGTTTAGGGGTTTAGGACATAGGGTCTAGGATCCTAAACCCTAAACCCCTAAACCCCCAAACTTTAAAACCCTGAACCCTAAAACCCAGGAAACCGGACGTACGGTGTGCACGCCAATGGTTTGTTTGGAAGTTTGAGGGTCGAGGGCTTCAGGGGCTGGGCTTGAGGGTTTTGAGTTTAGGGCCTGGGGTTTAGGGCTTTAGCGTTTAGGGTTTAGGGGGGTTCAGGGTTTAGGGGGAGTAGGGTTCAGGGGGTTTAGGGGCTTTAGGGTTTGGGTTCTGGGGTTTAGGGCCTGGGGTTTAGGGCCTAGGGTTTAGGGCTTGGGGTTTAGGGTTTAGGGCCTAGGGTTTAAGGTTTAGGGCCTGGGGTTTAGGGTCTAGGGTTTTAGGAATTAGGGTTTAGGGTTTAGGGTTTACAGTTCAGGGCTGGTGGTGAAGAAGAACATGATGATGACCATGGCGATTATGACATCGGTGGTCGGTCCCATTACCCATGAGATTTCCATATACCCATTCAAGCCTAAACCCTAAACCCTAAACCCTGCACCTCATGAACCCTAAACCCTAAACCCTAAATACCCATGAGTCTTCTCCGTACCCTACAAGTAAGCCCATGAACCTGAATCCTAAACCCCTAAACCCTAAACCCCTAAACCCTAAACCCTTAACCCCTAAACCTTAACGCCTAAATCCCTTCAAGCAGTGCAAGCAAGGTCTTCTCTGGAACTCCGAATCCGCAGCTGGTCATCGAAGAGGCTTTAGCATTTGGGCTTTAGGGTTTGGGCTCAAGGGTTTTAGGTAGGGTTTGGGATTAGGGTTCGAAGTTTAGGGTTTTAGGGTTTTAGGTTTAGGGTTTCTGGGAGGGGAAGCTTGGAAATTGTGCGCCGTCTTCAAAGCGACGTCTGAGGTATGATGCGAAAGGATTTAGATTTAGAAGCCTGGGCAGTTTCTAACGCTGCTCCTGGGGGCTTCAGGGTTTAGGGTTTAGGGCTTAGGGTTTAGGAAACCTTGCTTTAATTGCTGAGGTCCTACATTGGTTTCCAGGTGTCCAATATAGAAGAGACAGATCGGTTATGGCACCTTTTTTCAGTTGTTCCTACCCGAAGACCAGGGGTATTTTAGAAGTCTGAATGATCTTGGGGGTTCCTTAATGTAATTATGGCTGTAATTAGTATATCCTCAACAGCCGTGCTCCAGTTTTTCAAAGGCCCTTTTGTTTAGGCCTCTGTCATGGTTTCCTTAGAAGACAACAGGATCTACCCATAGGCTCCATGATAGTTCCATTTTGAGAGTACCCTATAGGATTCTAAATATAATATACACCTACCCCAAACCCTAAACACGAAACCCAAAACCTCATAACTCCAAAACCCTAAACCCTAAACCCCTAAACCCTAAACCCCAAACCCTAAACCCCTAACCCTAAACACAAGACCCAACACCTCATAACTCCTAAGCCCTAAACGCCAAGCCCTAAACTCGAACCTTGCTTGAAGAGTCGGCCAAGCACCCTACCACAGTGATCCCCGGAAAGTTGGAACTAGGGGCCTGTAACCCTTACACCCTACAGTGAACCCCAGAAACCTAGGGGTTTAGGGTTTAGGGTTAACCCCGGAAAGTTGGAACATTAATTTAGGAGGATTCGTGCGGAGATTCCCCATACTTCACCTTAAGGGCATGAGGATAATGATGTTCCAACTTTCTGGCTTCTACTGTAGAGTCAAAGCCATAAACAACGTTCGAAACTCTCAAACTGTAACGCAAAAAACAGAAATGTACTATAGAGGTCTGAATGCTCGGAAATACTATTCCTGAACCCTTAATGTAAAGCTAGCTCAATACCACAATACCTTATTCTAGTTGGTAAGGCCCCAATCTCAAACCCCAAAGTCGTAAGCTCATAAATGCCCTACGGCCCGTCCCTGGAATCCTTGAAGCCATCCGAGTCCCTTCACATCCGCGCCTTCTGAGTCTCTGTGAGCCGACCACACCCTGCTAGAACCATTAGGCGCGTATACTACCTGTGCAGGCCGCATTGACGAATCTGCAACACCACCTTCGAGGCTCTGTTTTGATTTTAGGGCGGGGCAGGTTACCGTTCCAGGCGGTGGCGTAAGGGTTGAACTTATAGGAGCTGCTTTACGGTGCTCCTATATCTCAGACCAGTTTAATTCAACATCACATCGGAAGGTTTTCTTTCTGAAGCTCCGAATGCGGTGCCTTGCACAAATCTGTAAAGTCCCTTGTCGATGTCGACAGGTTGCAGCAGTGCCGGATCATTGCTCGGCCGCACCAATGTGACTGTGGGCTATCGGGGCTTCTGGGTTGAGGGTGCTGGCAATAACAGCTTCGTCGTGCGTGGCTGCCAGCCCGCAGAGAGACTACTGCTGTCGATTCTGCAGCCGAGCATTTCGAAGACAGTGGCCAACTACATCCGGGACGAGATAGCTCGAGACCACACTGGCGAATTGGACCTGCCAGACATGGAGGTCGCCGTGGAGACTGCTGCAAACTGCTCGCACCAGGTTGGCCCAGACACAGTCCCAACGTACAACCCCAGCGTGGACGACCACGGCTGCTTCGTCAGCCACCAATCACAGTTCCTGAGCTGCTTTTCAGTACAAGCTGTGCTGTAGTTTTTCCCGTCTCAACATTCCATCATTTCACAGACCTCAGCATCTTCAGTATCAAAGACTCCCTCCGCCTCCTCTTTCCTCGACTTGTCCTCCTTCATTCGATGTAACCGGTGTCACGCTCGTCGTAGCGCGTAACTAGAGATGATGGCAGCAACGCCCGGATAATGAAGAGGAGGGGGAGCCGGAGTATCAGTTATCAGCAGCAGAAACACAGCAGTAGCCACAGTTGCAGCAGCCAGTATCTGCGGTGGTGGTGGCGGTGGTGGTGGTGGTGGTCTGGTGTCTGGTGGTGGTGGTAGTAGCAGCAGTAGTAGTAGTAGTAGTAGTAGTAGTAGTAGCAGCAGTAGTAGTAGGAGGAGGAGGAGGAGCAGCGGGCCCCCAGCGCCTAGGTACGGATAGATTTTTTCGGATTTTACGTGGCTAGGACGGCACTTCGGGGTTGTGGGCGGGGTGGGTGGCGGCTAATGACGGTAGTAGTAGTCGTAGTCGGAGCAGGAGGGGGAGCAGGAGGAGGACGACGAGGACGAGAAGTGGTAAGTGTCGGAGGAGGAGAAGCAGCGGCGGAGTAACAGCTACCAGAAGCAGCAACACAGCAGCCAGTGTCTGCTAGTGGTCGTGGTGGTGGTGGTGGTAGTTGACGAAGGGGAAGTGGCAGGTAAGTGGTCGCAGTAATCGTCGTCGTAGTAGTAACTTAGTAGTAGCAGTAATTAGTAGTAGAAGAGGAGGAGCAGGAGGAGGAGGAGGAGGATAAGCGGCAGTGGTAGTGGTAGCCGTAGCAGTAGCAGGAGTGGCGTTCAGCAATACCTAGAACGGCAGTGAAAGCTTCTTGCAACTCGGGTGGACAAGAATGTGGAGCTAAGGAACAACTGCTACAACTATGGTACAGACATCTCCACGGATACCTTCGCCCAGCCCGGCCGAGGGTCTGGGCACAAGTGGACTCCTGTCTGAAGAAGTTGTGCAGATGCTAAGCCCCAAACCCTTAAACCCGACACCCCAAAAGCTTTGAAAACCTAAATCCCTAAGCTCCCAACTCCTAGGTCCAAACCCGGAAACCCAATCCCGCAAATTGAAGCTTCGGGAGCCAGGTCAATTGGGAAATAGAGGGTGGAGCCCTCGACTGGCTTCCTGAAACGATCACAAACGCACCAGTTCTTAAACGGCCAACTTTGCAAACATGTTGCTTCTCAGAAGTAAAATTGATCGCTGAAACCTGGAAGCCTAGATCTTAGTTCTTAAACGCTAGACTTCGAACAGTCTGAAAGTTTGCAGGTTTGCTTCCTTGGGTGCTTAAGAAGTTCGACCCATTGCATTGGATCCAACAAAATCATTCCCAACCCTTACCCTAACCGTTAAACTCCCAAACCCTCAACCCCTAAACCCTAAACCCTAAAGCCCTAAAGCCCTAAACCCTAAACCCCTAAACCCTAAACCCTAGACCCTAAACCCTAGAGTTTCGGGGAAAGCCAACAGCCGAAATCCTCAACTACTACAGTCCCCAACGTGAATTCAGCCGAATAAAACCCTAAACCCTAAGCCGTTAAACCACAAAGATATAGGGGCCTTCAGAATCAGCACGACCATGTAGCACTCCTCCTTCAGTTCGCCGTATAGAAACCTTCTCAAACACGAGCCCATCATACTTATACCGACTCCTATTACGGCTGGGGGTTCAGGGTTTGAACAGATTAACCTTATACTAAGCCCTAAACCTTGAACCCTAAAACCTAAATCCTATAAGCCCTAAACCCCAAGCCCTATAAACCCCTAAACCCTAAACCCTACAAACCCTATAGACCCTATGAGCCCTAAACC